AACTGTCGCGTGAAAAACCGGGAGTTATTGGTTGCTCACAAACCAATCTGGGCACTCGACCGACGCAAAGATTTATCAAGTGGCTTTCAACGGCCACGTCATTCGTCTCTTGGTCTGCGTCATCCGTACAATAACAAAAATCAACCCAGCACAACCAGCATGTTCTTTCGATCACTTCCGTGGAGGACAAGGAAGCTTGTAAGCACATATTCCTATCAGTTATGCTTATCGCAAATATAAGATGCATGTCTTACCACTCAGATATTGTTACAGTATAGGAATTACCATGCTATTATGATAAGCAAACTCTGGAACATGGACGTTCTGTAACTCCCAATCTATAGCTGGATACGGTAGCAATTCTATAGTTAGCCTGAAGACAGTAAATGGCAGTACCTTGCGAGATAAAGGCTTGGTAACCACTAAGATAATCATGCAGAAAGACGGTACCTGGGGCTTTGCGTTGTTTATCGAAACCTACACCCGGTGACTACAAGAGAGGCACATGGTAGACATAATCGAAATCGGTGGTCAAACTATCACCTACTTGATACTATATCGTCACTATATTGCTACTCTGTCACGACCTAACTGCATGGTACATCTTCAGTTAGTATTAAAATACACCTTTCTTTAACCATTCAGCTTACTAAAAAATCCCCATATAGGTTACGACTGCATTCTAGGCTAACATTTCCTACATGCACAACCAGACCGCACTGTAGCTTGCCAATTACTGGCATTAGCAGGTAAACTTACTAGACTTAGCAGTGGTAGGTTACCTCTAGCAGCAGTATCCTAGCCCGAAATTCGTAAAATGTGGCAGCAGCATTTACTTTGCTTTATTAGCCACTCATAATTTAATCTAGTTTACCTTAAAAGATACCTGACTGGAACTTCATTACTCAGTTTAGACAAAAATATACCTCTTAGTTTACGCAGTTGAGTCTCTTAGTTTTTATATGCTTAGCTTTGATAGTGTAGACTAGTCCTCAAAGCCTAGTCTAAGCTTGTAGCCTATTGCAGTCTCAGCAACACTGTTGTCCTCTAGAACCGTACTTGAAGCGCACGTAGTAAGAAAGATGATGGTCGGACCTCTGACAAATGGTAGCGTCAGTGCTAGCACCAGTACTACTGCACTTCTTATTGAAATTGTGGGGATATGAGCCCAGTGCGGACTTTAATCAGCGTCACTTTTTGACTAATAATACAGCCAGAAATAGTACCAGCAATACTATCACTCAGCTGCACTCCTAGTTAGTAATATTAAAAACATCAGTAGCCGTACTAGTCTTGGCTTCCAGAACTCTGGCTTCATAGCTACTGAAAGTGGGTATTTACTCGGAACAGCTTTAACGCACATTCACACTCCCCGCTAGGATCAAGGAGATATGAGCAGACGTTCTGTTAAGTCCAAGCTATAAATGGATACTGTAGTAGGCCTATAGGTAGTTCATAAATGGCAAACTGCACGACATAAGGGTATGGTAGGAGTTAAACATTACTTTATAAACGCTCTATTATTACCCAAATGCAAATCACTATTACCTCACACAGATTGGAGGTGCATACTGGGTGTGACTCCTTAAAAAGCACACACAGGCAATACTTATGGTATACTATCTACTGGCCTTAGTAGGCATGATTGCTAGGAATTAGAACTTTTAGCATAAGCACGTACATATAGCAGCAGTATCTTA